CCCCCCCCCCCCCCCCCTCTAAACACAGTTCTGAGATTTAACCAAAAAGAAAACCTTGTACGACCAAAAAAAATTGTCTGGTTTAATCAAACCGAAGAGTGACCTCTCCGGTTTTCTAGCTCAACCGGTTTAGGGGAGGCAAGAGATTCTCAGCTTGCTTGTGGTACAAGTCACTTATTCCTTCCTCTGCAAGTCTTCTGCTCCGACAGAAACACGTGTGATCAGACAAGAACATATCTGTCTCTGTCTTTCAAAGTGAACCAGGCCGTAACATAAGTGAAGTCCCATGTTCGCTCAAGCTTCCCACTGATAATCTCCTCACTCTCTGCCAAAACTTCTTGCCCCGACCTGTCGTCAATGGCCCAGAACTCGAATGCCTTCGAAACGAACCCGTCGATGTCGTTCCCGAACCCGATAACATCTCCGAAACACAGACTCCCCTCTCCGTGTCGGGTTCCGAGTCGTAGTTCGGTAATAACGGGTAAGGTCCAAGCCTTCCCGAGCCCGAGCTCTCGACCCGAGTTCTGACGGAAAGATCATCCTGGGAAATCGTAGTTACGGAATTCAGCTCTTTGGCTTCATTGCACTCGTTGCAGACAAGTTTCAGAGCCTGAACGACCTCGCCCATGAACGGACGGTGCGATACTTCCGGTTGAACACACATCGAGGCGATGGCCGCTACTTTTGCCACACTGTCGAACGGGATATCGGGTCCTAGAGATGGGTCTATAATGGCTTCGAGCCCTTCTCTGCTCGTGAGGAGATGTCGGGTCCAAGCAACTAGGTTTTCTTGTCCCGGCGGTTGAGACATGTCCACTGGTTTTCGACCAGTTAGTAGCTCGAGAAGGACAACTCCATAGCTGTAAACATCGCTCTTCACCAGAAGATGCCCAGTCATCGCATATTCCGGTGCAACATACCTAGATTCAGTTCGGTCAGAGCCAAGAAAAACAATGTCAGTTTTGATGTTGATGATTATCGAAAAGAAATCGATATGGTTAAGAGTTTTCGATTCCGCACCCGAAAGTTCCCATGACACGAGTCGAGATATGCCTGTTTTCTTCGTCCAAGGCGGTTCGAGCCAAGCCAAAGTCCGAGACTTTAGGCGTGAAATCATGTTCCAGCAAGATGTTGCTGGCTTTGAAGTCCCTGTGGATGACCCGAGGGCTCGAGTCTTCGTGTAAATACGACAAACCACGAGCTGCACCTAACGCTATTTTCAACCGGGCCTCCCAATCAAGTGGACTAGACTCCTTATCAACACCTAATGAAACACACCAAAAAAAACTCGGGAATGTCAGTTCTTTATACGTTTCTCGAGTAGGTCAAGTCCGAAACTTCAGTTCTGTGAACTGTATCAATGGTGTAATACCGTGCAAATGAGATTCCACACTGCCATTCGGAATGAGTTCATAGACCAAGCATCGGTTGCGTTCCTCGGTACAAATACCGATCAGATTCACTAAGTTCCTGTGATGAAGCCGGCTAAGCATCTCGACTTCGGCCAAGAATTCTCGGCTACCTTGCTGGTCATCCCTCTTCAGAACTTTGACCGCTACTTTCGTTCTGTCCTCGAGATCGCCACTATACACCCGCCCGAAACCTCCTTCCCCGAGTACCCGAGATTCATCAAAGTTATTTGTCGCTTTCGCTACTTCACTTGCAGTGAAAGTCTTTGCAGAGAGAGCAAATGGAGCGATACTTGACTCAAAAGACAACGAAGCAGAGCTAAGACGGCTTCCAGTCAGAGATCTTGCGGAACCTGCGATATATAAACGTTAAAAGTTTTAATATTTTAGACATCGGCCGTTAGTCATATCTGATAAGGGTGCGTTCACCTGAAGGTTTCGAGAGAGACGGTAACGAAGCTCGGGCAAGTGGCACCCTTTCCGAAGGGCGATCCCTTCGTTTGGACAGCAAAACCCAAATGACAGCGAAACACAAACCGACGAAAGCAGATGCTGATAGAACGATAACGGCAATTGTTCCACCGTTGAGCCCTTTACTGTGCAGCTTCTTCGGAACATCGACCCCGAGGGGCTTATTTATCCTTCCGTTCCCTCCATTACCCGAAAATGGCCCATCGTCTATAATGGTCATTCCAGAAGGCGGGAATGGAGGAGATGCAGGTAAACCTATCGGAAAAAACACAAAAAGATGGAAACTTTTAGCAATTTGCAGGAGAAACGAGGGTGACAAAAGCCGAGAAATCGGGGGTAAAAACAGGTTTACCTGGATAACTCACGTAAATAACGTCATAATCACCGAAGAGCGATGGATCTATATAGACTTTTTTGCTATAGAATCTCTGGTAAGTCAGCAATGCAGTCATATTATCGAATTTTTCTCCGAGCGGGACCAAATCGACGAGAACAATCGATTTTTCGGGTTGCTCACTAGCCGCATTAGCCCCCATAATACGGACTTGACTCTGCTTCATGAAAACCCCAGTAGCAACCTCCCCCGTGAATTCCGAGACCAACGGGAAGAATGTATACAGTGCCACACCGAGTTGCAATCTGACCTGCATAGGCGACACACAACCACAAGGAGACCCTGGAGGCGTATTCGTATATGGCTCCACGCAAATAGTCGATAAACAATCTGAAAGATTAACAAAAAAATATGGGTTTTTACACTGCCCGAAGATCTATTTCTCAGAATCTCAGCGTAAAAAACAGGTAGAAACGGTATCTCTAAAACCTGTATTAGGAGGTGGAGGAAGAAATGCTTGAAGAGGAGGACCGAGAGGGACTTTCGGAGGCTTTGATTCGGGTCTGAAAGGAAAAACTTTCGGAGAAATAAACAGATTTTAGGACATCAAGACATTTTTTTCGTCGAAATGTGAAAAAAAAAAAGAAACACTATCATGGCATGTCAGACGAAGAATCGGTAATGATACCTTGCCCCGGAGAAGGTGCAGGAGCTGGTGAGGCACGATGCATTGATGAAGAGACCGGAGAGCGAGGAGGAGAAACCATAGAACCGGGAATGAAGGGTGAAGGAGCGTACCCTGTAAAAAAACGTGCGAAAAAAAAATCTTAAACCGTATATATGTGTCGAAAAATTAGATATTTTGAAGTTATGATCGGTCTCAAACCTTTATGATGCTTTGAATGCTTTGGAGATATCAGATATGGCGGAGTAGGAGAAGGAGAAGTGATCTTCTTTCTGTCTTGTCGATGCCAATGAAATGAGGGTAGAGGAGATGAAACCGGAGAAGCATTATGACGAGAATGTTTCCCGGACTTTGGGGCCGATGGAGATATGGAAGGAGAAGAACCTGCCACGATAATGACCGGGAGGGAATGCTACAGAATTATCAACTCATGTTCTGTCCGATCTGAAGACTAAAAAGCACTTAAGATTGATTGTTACCTTTATGTGGTATAGCTGGATAGGGTTTGGAAATTTCGTACGGCGGCTCGGCAACTGGACTTCTGCTGTTATCATCTCGGTTTCCGCTGGGTGGTGGACCGTTTATACGAGGAGGAGGAGCATGATCTACATCTGTATATGAAAGAAAAAACTCCATTGAAATGTAAATATCGAAAGAACTATATAATGTGCAAAGTAGACAGACTCGAACTTCGGGTTTACCAGGAGAAGAAGAGGGCGTTAATCCCGGGATTAAAGGGTGGACGGCCGGAGGGGTTCCAACCGATATCTTTGGTTCAGAAGCAACAACTGACTCAGAAATACCGAGACAACAAATGATCAAACCATATCTCAAGAACAAGACACAGAAAATCTAAACTAAGCAACTCACCAGGAGCAGGAGGCTCTTCTTCTATAGGGGGCTTGTGATCATTTGGTGGATTTCTATCTGAAACTGGGGCTGCAAATCAAAGCATACCAAACCCTAAAGATTCAGACATATACTCGGCAAAATCAGAAACTTTTCAGATTTAACAATGGAAATCTCAATGTACCTGGCTGAACGGTTGGGGGGCTACTGGGCAAATCCTTCACAGGAATTGCTGCAGGAGCTGGAAGACCAAATCCTTCACATTGATCAATGCCCATATACTCACACACACATATATATACACACACACAGACACATATATATATATATATATACCTGGAGAACCAGGAACGGAGACTACAGGCTCATGGGCCGGTGTCTTCTTGCCTGAAGCGTTTGGACTAGGTGGCAGAGAGACGGTTCCTTCTGATGGCGGTGGAGCCGCTGCTAATGGAGGAGGAAGAGATGGCTGAGTGGGTTCAGGAAATGGGGAATTGCCAGATCTTGGCGATTCAGCCGGATGACTCGGTACTGGAGGAGCAAACCCTTTTGCAGTTTCCGGCAATGGAGACGTTGGTGATGGAACCGGAGGGAATGAACCCGATCCTGGGTCATGTTCAATCAAGCCAGAAGCATCATCAGGTCAAGCATTGGTACCAATCAACGAATCACGAACGGTAACGAATCAAAAAGGCTTTGAATCTTCGAAAATTGAATTATATTATAAAGCAGAATTGAGTCAACAGAAATGCAGTTCCATTGACTCGATCAATCTCCCCGAATTCTACTAAAAGAGTCATCGAAATGAGTGTAATTGTTTCACTAATCGACGCCATTTGACTAAATAAAAGTTCGCACTTTTATCCCCCCCACTGGATTCGGATTCAAACCCCAAGAACATTCACTAACACAGTAAAGCTCATTGGACAAAACCCAGAATCTCAAATTATTAATTAAGCAACTAAAAGTCGAAAAGATTGAGAATCTATTAAATCTGGGTCCGATCCTACAGACACGAACAGTGATAATACTTGCTTTTTCTGGGCAAATAGATCAAATACCTGAGGAAGTGCCAAGAACTAAAACCGAGGAAAGGAGACAGATCCTCAGGAGGAGGATCAACATCTCCATTCCATAAAACAGAGAGGAAGATAAAAATAGAGAAACCAGCTTCCTCGGTGATCACGAGGAAGGTGAAGGAGACAAACCCAGTAATAAAAACTGATGGGTTGATCTCGAATCCTAAGTTCTAAGCCGAGAAATCGAAGTGGGAGATGGAGAAGAATGGTTTTAAAAGCAAAGAAGAAGAAAGAGAGACCACAGGAACAGTGAGAAGGAAGCAAACAAGGTTTATGAAATTTATGTCCAAAAAAAAAAGGGAAACGAGTTTGGTGGAAGAAAACGGTAGAAACCAGAGGTAAAGAATATATATATATATATGCCGGAGAATTTAAGCTCTGCAATTAATCCGTGATCCCCATTTTTGAACGAGCCGTTTCTCTTTCCTCTATTAAATCTCTCAGTGGTGAAACACGGGAGAGAGAGAGAGAGAGAGAGAGAGAATCGTTTCGAAGGAAGGTTTGGATTTGAAGGTGGTGGGGCAGTGTCAATGGAGGAAAATGGTGCAAAGCTAGTGGGTTTCAACCATAACAAAGAAACAATTTTTTTTCCTTTTGTTAAAAAAAATATTTCTTTTTATTTATAAAAGTTAAAAGTTTGTATCGTGTGCACAACGAATATTAAATTAACAATCGAACTCGCAGTTAAAAAATGTTGTTTTTGAAGCATATATTATATTATGCATATTATATATATGTTGTATACTTTTATTGGATTATAAACACGCATTTGTAACATCAGTACACGGTTAAAAAAAAAAGGATTTCTTCTTGGACAGTCGCTATATTGGGGTTTAGTTACCACAACGCATGTATTTGTCATATACTAAACCCTAAAACAAATCCATAATAATAAAACTTAATAAAACTAGTTGGGATTGATCTATGAATTCCTTCTACCATTGTAATTAATCAGAGATATCGGTATTATTATTATTATTGGACATTCGCTCTATAACAATTGAAGCATAGAAATCTTAACGAGGCATTGGATTGGATCACACATGGATACGGGATTTTGTATGGACACCCACAATAGATATCATACAGCACTATATGTATATTATATATGAGGATATATATACATAAACATATAGAGAGAGAGAGGGTAAGTTTGGTTTGTCTTTTAGAAAATGTGGAATGAGAGGACATGGAATCCGATGATGAATAGACAACGACATGGAGACACATCATAACAAACAGCTTATGTTTTCCTTCAAATCTAAATTTAATTAATTATATATTATAATCTTTTCTTGATATTCATTCTTCTTTTCATCTTCTCTCCAAATTAATTACAAAATGTTCCATCCATATATCCATCCTTTTTCGTTGCTCTTTGAATTGATTTCGACCAATCTTGACTCGACATTTCACTTTTGTCCCCCACCAACTCGATTTTATGGGGATGACCGATAATAACGTAGTCATCCGCAATCGCAATGATTGCGATTTCTAGCGATTATGGACGATTAAAAAAGTGATTGTTGAAATCGCAATCGCAACAAAACATCAATATTTTAATCGTGGGTAAAAAAGATTGCGTTACGATAACGTTTAGCAGCGTTTTGGTTAAATAACCAAAATACCCCTAATATTAATTAATATATATATGTACATACATATTATATTATATATATAAAGAACTTACGTATGTGTATATATACATGAAATATATAAATACATACATATATAATACATATATACATACAAACATACATATACATATACACATACATACATATATACACATATATATATAAACATATACATACATACATATAAATACATATATATACACACATATATATACATATATATACGTATATATACACACATATACACAAATATACATATATATACATACATACATATACACATACATTTATATATACATATACATACATACACACATACATACATATATTTATATACATAATACATATATACATACATAAATTAAAAAAAATATTAATAATTTTGTTTGGTATATATTATGTTTGATATTATTTAGTTTTACCAATAAATATTTTTAATATTAAAACTATTTTTGAAAATAAATTAAATTGATAATAAAATTATATTTTAAAATTTATAATTAATTATTTATAAATTTAATAATTATTTTCTATTAACTAATAGTAAAAAAAACTAATTTTAAAAATGATTAGTATTGTATATAATAAAATGATGTCTTTTTTGTAATTTAAACCAAATTGCAATCGCCTATAATCACCAACAAACGCATCGTAAATGTCCACAATCGCTACGATTGCGATTGCGATTCCACCGGTCAACATCTATATCGTTGATCCATTTAATTTAGATTTGAGAGTAATAATGGATTTATATTTCTTTTTTCTATTCATTTTATGATCAATCCCTACAACATTTCGGTTCTTTTCTACCAAACCGAAATAAATTTGGGAGTCAAGGTTGAGTCGCGATTCTACTTGTAGGCGTTAGGAAATTTGAGGGGTGGAGCGGACAAGATGCCAAACATTAGGTAAAGTGTGTGTGTGTATATATATATAATCTTTTTGACTTTACGCTAATGAGTTTTTAACTATCACGTCATCATATTAATTCATGGTTCTAAGTGCCCTCTCCAAATCCCGATATATGTATGTGTGTATATATATGCCATGATTATTTTGGATTTTTTTTATATAAATGAAGAAGGATATTTGTATGTTACATCAATTAGTAGGACCAAATAAAACAAACAAAACCTAGTAGGTGTTGAGGAGCCTTGGAAAGGAGGAAAGAAACCGATAGCCCACGTGCCAAAAATACCTAAAGAGAAGCCCGTGTCCACTAAAAGTTAAACCGAAGATCTAAAGTCTAAATTTCTCACTAAAACCACCAGAGATTTAGAGAGAAGCCCTTCAATTCAATGCACCGACAAACATATATACATATACACATTATAATATATATATATGTATATATATATAAGTGTTTCATGAGATCAACCCTGATCTCATATAATTACGAGTGTGGGACTCGGCCACAGACCAGATTCGGGGTTGTGATTTTGTCGTGATACCTGCCGGAATCACACCTAGACAATGGCACGAGGCTTTTGTCTCTCTCTCTCTCTCTACATATATACACAGACACACACACACACATATATATATATATAGATGCACGACAAATGACGTGTCTTTTAGGATTTTCGATTCAAACCCACGAATCGATTTGGAAATTGTAATCTAAATCTAATGGGCTGATTTGAATCGCAATTAGAAACCATAACATACATATGTGATAAAGTATAACGGTAGCAAAGTCAGAGTACTCGCCTTTACCCGTAAACATTATTGAAGCTGCTCTACTTGTCTATCAAAGATTCCGGATCTCCTTATCTTATACGGTACGAATATACATCCTCCACATTTAATATTCCAGATCCCAACTTCTGCAAGGCTACAGATTTCGAACTTATTGCAATTCTTCTATTGGAGAAAAAAAAATGGGAAAATCATTTTGGCAAGTAGGGTTGGCCATTTTTTATATTAACTGAATAATCGAACTGAACCAAATAAAACATAATCATAACCAAACTGAATTTTACATAAAAACCAATCAGTTATAACGAAAATCCGAAAAACCGAATCCGAACCAAATCGAATAAAAACAAAAAATCGAAAATTTCGTTGAAAAATGAGACTTTTACCAATAAAAAACCAATTCCGAACCAAACCAAAATAAAACCGAAGTGAACTGAAGTTGATATAAAAACCGAATGGCCATAATTTTTCTATAACCGACACAAAACCGAAATGGCCACATCTATTGGCAAGTAACCGTGGCTCAACTTTGGGACCATTTTGTTTTTCTGTTCACTCGGATAAAGAAGGAAGCAAAACACTTTCAAAAAAGAAAACCATGTGCATAAGACCCAAACCAATGCTCTTAACAAATATGAGGATCCGTACCTGTTGAGAAGCATTTGCTTCCTTTGCCTTTTGCTAAGGCTGCAAAAGAAGCAGAAGTTAGAAGCAGAGGAGCTTATGTCCTCATCATGACAGCTTGTGTTTTGTGTTTTTGTATGCGCTGTTTCACCTTTTTTTTCTTTGGTCATTCCTTCCTTCATCCTCTACCTATCCAAGTAGTTAACCTAATTCTCAAGGAACCATTCCCCATAAACAGATCTCTGGTGAATCTGATTCACTAGGTGAGCTCAGTAGTATTGGTTGTTGCCTTTTTTTCGTCTTTGACACCCTCTACTTGGAACTAAAGCTTTAAGGGCCGAGTCCTGCCAATAGACTTGTTAAGAACGAAACCTTGAGGAGATTTCACAACGGGCTACCTCACGTGGATCCTGATCATATAATCTAAGGCTTGAAAACTATTTGGAACGACCAACAGATATAGACGTCCAAGAACAATTAAGAGTCAGGTGGGTACAGGTGAAGAGAAAATTCTGGCATGATTGATCATGAACTGTAGCTACTACCAATCCTTGTAAGCAATTCATGTCAAATACAGTTTAGCTAACGCTAAGGAAAGCAGAAGCAGCAGGGAAAAAAGATGTATTAAGATTCATTCGGGAAAAAAAAAAGAAAGGATGAGATTAGACCTGCTTTTAAGTAGGTAAACACAAGCAAGACTAGCTGGAACAAGGGGCAACACGCCCAGGTATATGCCTCATTGCCTTAGAAGACCTCAGTTCCCGTCTGTGAGGAGCTTAAAGTGTAAACACTGTTGCAAGGAAACATAATGGTCATGAACATGGACCATTGTATAATTTCGGTAGTTGCTTCAACAGTAACGGAATACCTAAATGGGTGATGTCGAGGTTAGCTTGATGTTCCACAGATAAGGTAACTGAATATCATACAGTTGATCCAAGCTTCAGTTCGGAAAGTTATTCGAAAGGGTCAAATGATTGAAATTGCTTCTTGAATTCTTCCGCCGACTTTGCCTCCTCTTCTTGGCTAACCGCACAACTCTTCCAGTCAGCCCTTTCTGGGATCTTTAGCAAGCCTGCTAGAACCTGAAGAATCACAAGTAAAAAACTCTGATCTTACCCAACACTAAGCTCAATCATTCTTTAGATGCAAAATTTGCTAGAGATATGGACTGCAATTGGCAGAAATACGAAGTAAAATATTTTGCTTCTCAAATTTCCAAATGGAAGCAAGGATATGCATGCGATCAAATTCAAAGCTTTAAACATTATGGTATGAAACATGACAAATGGTCGTGTCCTCTGCCCTCCACAAAACACCATGCACATGTCAAAATCCATGTCATATATGGCAATTGAATGAAAAACCCTAGAGGTCTATGCGTGACCTATCATTCAGTTACATTCTTCAGGATGAGGAAGAAAACTGTGAAACTGTCCAAGATGATTTCAACTGTTATATTGTTGTACACCAGAGTGCGTGACACTGATAGAGGGAAGAAGCGTACCTCCCGCCCAAATTGAACAGGGAATTTTTCATTCTCTTCCAGAGTATGAGATAACACTGTTCCATCAGGAAGTTCCACATAGAAGAAACCTGAAGTTTTATTATATTCCTTCTGCAGATATTTTCTGCCATCAGAACTATCACTAACTGCAAAGGAGACATTGCAAAATTAGTAGAGAGTTCAACAAAGATACTATTTTTATTTCGCTGCCAATAGTAAACCACAGTCTCCCCTAAGCGGACAAGCATGAGAAATCACAAGCCTTGAAAGTGCAGAGGAAATGATAGTACTATAACTGAGAGCCTTAAATTTGCACGAAACAGAAATAATCATGAGAAAATTAGGAACATATCAAATTTTAAGTTATAGGAAACTTCATACATCTGTTAAAATAGATAATTATTAAAAAGACAACTAAATCAACTTACACTTTCTAGTCACGAATGTGAACCCCAGCTTTTCAGCTGCTAGATTGAAGATATTAGGAAGAAGACGAGCTTTGGATGATGGAACAGGAACTGCCTATGAAAAAGAGTAGAGAAAACCAAAACTTATTCAAGCAGTTTCCAAATCAAAAAGAAAAAAGAACTGGCTTGAAGCGAGAACTTCTATTACCTGGAGATTAGCATGAGTACCTCGTGTAGAAACCAACTCAAAGAACACAGCATCATTTCCGTGGCTCTTATAGTAACTTCTTACACTATTCTGGTATTTGCTGAGCTCTGTTTCGTTCTCGGAAGATAACAAAAGAGTATTTGGCCAGTGTTCAATTGGGATTATCAAGGCATGGTCTCCGACAAGTGAACCTTTGGGTAGAGCACAATAAAAACTTTCTCCTATGCTAACGATCAAATGCGATTCCACATTTGGGCTTGACAAACAAAACCAGCACTCTTTTGACCTGAGAAATCAAATTTTGAAATGATAGTTATTATCTCAACTCAACCCACGGATACTGATATGATGTTGAGTTAATTGAAAATGCAGATCGCCCTTGCAACCTAACCACTCGAGAAGCTCACTAGTCCGCATAACATCAATTTGCAAGAACAATCCCAGAAGCTACCATTAAAATGGTAGTCTTAAAACAACAAATAACCTGTTAGCATTTGCAGATCTCGACCTCCTTTGTGAATCACTTTGACTTTGATCTTGTAACTCATGCTTGTAGCTGCAATCTGGTCCTCTTTCGCACTTACCTTTGATGATAAAATCAAGACAAACACCTCTGCGGCATTGTTCTCTTGCTTCCATGTCATGTTGGAAGTGACACTTTTCCCCACGAGAACAGGACCCAGAAGATATAAATTTGAAACAAGGCCTTTCTCCTGCAGATCCATTCTTTTGCCGTTTTTGTGCAACATCATACCTCCAATACTGCGAATCAGAAACATCATCGCTTGACCTCTTCTTAGATTCAGTAGGTGCTGATGCTCCCTCTAGTAAACTGTAAGGACATAAAGTCGCGTTCGGAGGCTTTGCACTAAGCTCAGATGCCGACATGGTAGATGTTGGTGTAGGAGAAATCGCATGGAGAAATTTCTACATATAGAAAGAAACAAAAGTTACGAAGAGTAACAATCAAGAACTAAGTAGATGATTTGAAGTGAACTGTGAAAGGGATCAAAACTGCATTAGGTCAGGGAAAGAAAGAAGGAGCCTCCACAAAGGAATTGCTTTTGAGACAGGATAAATGTTTTTCACACATTCCGTCAAAAAAGTGTTTCTAATGGTTTATTTCAGCTTACGGCAATTGACCACGGTGTTAACGCTGCCACTCTGTAGCACTGGATAACATGCTACTTCATCAAGAAGGCAAGAGATCAAAAGGGTAAGTGGCCAACACACTACACACAAGCATAATATGATACAAAGCATATGAAACAGGAACATAGAACAGACTTGTTTTTCTTTGTTTCCAACTTGAGCAAGACCGAGGAAGCGGGTTACATGATCAGCATCAGTGTTGACATATGGTTCACGAGCATAAAATACCCCCTTAGAACCTGCAATGTGATAGCTGCAGCAGAAGACAACAGAAACACAACACTTGTGTCATTTTCCGGCATATGATCACACTGTCATTAAAAAACAACAAAGGAAACATAAAGCACTTACCGTGGTTTAATTTCCATTACCAACTCAGACACTGTGGAATCGCTACCAGTAGAATCAGAAATTCCGACAGGGATTTCAGAAGCCCCAGCTCTGTTTGTGACCCCAACCGGCCATTCATTAGTATACACTGATTAAGGAATGCAAGTACCGCAACAACGAAGAATTTGCATGAAAATGCATAAGTCTACTTCCCAAGCTAAATAAGACATTTACAATCCAAATCCATAGCTAATAAAGGATATGTTAAGAATAAATCAACCCCATGATCTTCTGCAAGTGCTCGGATGGCATCGACATCATCTTGACTATATTTCCCAAATTGTTGGACATCGGATGATTGCCTACCAGATAAGTAAGCAACGGACAAACCTAAATATGAGCAAATTACATCAGCTAGACCAAAAAAACAGGCAAGACCCACGAAACTTAGATCATCATAATGGAGAAATCTAGATCAAATGAACTCCATTTCTTCATTCACTTTCATGCCCTTACCCCGTTTCTCGTCAACCAAGAACTAAAACACATAAACCCGAATGCGTACCATGAAGAGTAAATTTCCCGCTTCCTCTCAACCAAAACAAGTTGTGGCAAATCTCGAGACCGTCCATCTTAAAACCTTGATTGGAGGCCTTCCTCGAGGCTAACGAGAGAACTTTGGCTGCACCGACGCCATAGTCACCGGTGAAGTAAGTAGGGATGGGAATCTGAACTCGCCCTTCGACGTAGTCCGAGAACTCTTCCAACAGTTCCGGAGAATCAGGGAAAAACTGTCCGACGCAGAACAGGGCATCAAACGGACCGGCCGACTTGCTGACCTGCAACGAGGTCACACAGTGAGTCGAGCACGAGTCAGTGAAACCTAACATACACATATATAGACTCGTATGTGTGCTTGGGGAGCGAGAGAGAGAGATACCGATTGAACTCGCTTGAAGAGCTGATTGAGACGTCCCAGAGCATCTCCACAAAGCAGAATTCTCGGCGCCATGAGAGAGAGAGAGAGAATCGATCTGGGTCCGGTGGAGGAGCGACGGAGGAGATGGCAGAGCGGTGGGCTATTTAGGCCGTTGTCGCCATTGTTTGGGCTTGGGCTTGTAGCTAAGCCTACCTTTTTACGGATAATACAAAGCCCGTATTTGATGAAATATTTATTATTACATTAGAAACTTCTGGATCCTTTGATTTTATAATTAAAAAATATATTCATTTCAATATTTAGTATCATATAAGAATTAAATAGTAGACACTTGGCAAGTTTGTATATGCCGTGACCGTTGCAACTTGGTGAAGGGTCAATCTCACTCACGCACATACATACATACACCTACTAAACATATGGTATTATGATATATATTATGAAACGGATACGACAACGCCAATAATAATAATGTTTAGAAAGATGAGACAAATAAAGTGGTAAATCGTCCACGACCTCTCTAACCCACTTTTTTTTTTTTATATTATGTGATTTGTCAGGGTGGCTCTAATCCACTTTTCTACATATGTAACCATATGGATTATCATTTTTTTAATATCATTAATCTAATATTTTCACTTTAAACGTAAGTGTTGACTGTAGTATGCATGGGCGAATCTAGATTGTTAAGAGTGGGAGTATATACCCCCATTTGTTTGATTAAAAAGAGATAATTTCTTTATAAAATTAATAATATTTTTAACAAATTTGTTATGTGCCCCATGATAAAATTATGTTTATTATATAGTAACATTAGGTTTGCCCCATTCACAATAATATTTAGGTCCGCTGCTGTATGTATATATATATATGTGTATGGTTGGACCAGCTTTATAAACATGCATGCATTATATCATTTTAAATTTAAACTCAAAGTCAAAACGGATGGTCATGAGTTGTAGTAGCTAGCATCCCATGCATACGTAATTTCCACTCGATACCCAACTGTCAAAGCCAATTTTAATTTTAAAAAAAATCCCCATGCCATGTCATAATATTACTACACACCATTCTCTCTCTATGTGTGTTTTTAAAAATTGAGCGTTTTATTATGAACTATATGTGAGTTTTTTATTTTACAATTCGCAAATTTATCGAATTTTTTGTCTAACTATATCTCTCATAGAACCGAAGAAATTTGGGTGAGAATTCTTTTTCATTCTTAGATTTAAACTCGGGTAAGAACATATTTTATATATGTTCTTACCATTGGGCCAAAATAAATTGGATACTTTATGTAATCTTATTGTCGACATACAAGCTACCGATTTAATTCTTATATATTTGCAACTTATTATATATTCGTGGCAATGTTGTGTTCTCTATATTATGTATAACATATACGCGGATATGTATCAAAGTTATTATGATTATGGCATCTTGGATCCCCGAATATGTAAAACAGGCCTATATATTGTTATTAAGTTTTTGTATGATAAAAAAATGGCAATTGAAATTTGAAAACATAGTTCCTTTTTTTTTGGTAATGGAAAACGTAGTTCTTATCTCCGGGACGAAGCCCAGACTAATCTCCGGGCCGGGAACAAGCCATGTGCTTTGAAATATTCGCTCCCCTCCCCACCTTGGGGCTCGAACTTGGGGCGGGACAAGTGCTTTGCAACCCCGTTTCACCAGTTGAGCTAACCAGAATTGGTAAAAAACATAGTTCTTATTATAGATTATCAAATGAAACTAAAATAATAATAAAGTTTCTCCTGCTATACTTTTTTCAAAGGCATACTAAACTTAAAAATTATAATAATATATAATTTTATATAAATATAAGTTCTCCGTAATTACTTAATTCCTAATAAGAATCTGATTTTTTTCGAAACAATGAGATGCCAATAAACCAAATTATAAAGTTTTTCACAAGCTGTCCGAAAGAAACTCGCCGAGTGGGATGGGACATGCATGCATATACGACAACTTACCTGAACTTTTATCTCATTGGACAGCATGAGGACCCCACAACATTTCACATTTTCTTTGAAAGAAACTGACACAGCATCTTTATTTACATTGATTCGATATCCTTTCACGTTTGCAAATATACATATACATATATATACAGATATATAATGTGGACAAAGTTTTTTGGTTTGTATTACTATTAAGGCTGACCATTCCATTAAATTATTTAGTTTATTCATCGAATCGAATAAGGGTATTCCGATTATTAATCAAACCGAAACAAATAACCGATTGGTTGTAAATTTTCAAAATCTGAAATAACCGATTGGTTGTAAATTTTCAAAATCTGAAATAACCGCATTTCAATCGAACCGAATCGATTAAAATTTGAGTATGAATTCTCAAAATCCGAAATAATTGAACCGAATTATTTGTATATCTCCATTTATATATATATATATACATGTATGTATTCTACAATTCCGTAATTTCCATCGTAAATAATTGGAGTTAGCATCCTGTGGCTACCAAACAAAGAAACTGAAGTTGGTAGGTTAGATATCATATATGAAACATGAATTTTTCATCCATCTATTAATTACGTTGAAAGTTGATAGGATGAAAATTAATTACTTTTGTAATTTTAGTTTATTAAAAACAATAATTCCGCGAGAAGTTTTCAAACATTCGTACTGTATCTAAATCTACAGGTGAAGGACGAAATTTGAACAGTGGGGAATTTGAGGCGAAAGTGAGAAAAAAGAAAAACCACGTGCCTCTCATGTGAACTCATTAATTCTTACGTTTCCACTCATTTTTCTCCGATTTAAGGAAAAAGGACCCTTTAATAACGGACAAACTTAAATAAACAGCTTGAACCAAACTCGTAATATAAATATCATATAAAAAAAAATTAAAACCCAATTATAAATATCATCCCCCATTCATTCTCTCACCATCCATTGCATCTCTCTCTCTCTCTCTGCGGCAACAATGGAGGCTGTCGTGGCGACAGTGGCCAGCTGGTTCACGCCGACCACTCTTTTCCTCTTCCTCAATCTCATGATCGGAACCATCGTCATCACTTCCCGGTTCGGGTCCGTCTCCAAGAAGAACCACCCGCCCGTCAACCCGTCCGGGTCGGGTCATACTCATCATCACGCTCCGTTAGCCAGAGCTCCGTCGCTCGTCGACCGCGTCAAGTCCATCAACTTCCACCTCTACAAGTTTCCTTCGCCGGAGACCGAGCTCTTCGCAACCCATCTCGACGAAACCGGGTCGGATCCTCACCCGGACCCAGACCCGCACCCGCTTGCCCGCGCTCCTTCGCTTCTGGGTCGGGTAAAGTCCATCAACCTATCGTACTTCAAGTTCCCACCGTACCACCCGGAGAACGATTACGCGCCAACGACCCCACCCGAGGATGATAACCCGTTTGGCTCGACCCGGCTCGACTCGACCGACCCGGCTCAAATCAAGACCCCTGAGAACGATGAACACAGGGATGTACCCGGGCCCGGACCCGAATTGTCGGATCCCGCTGTCCCGTCACGTCTGGCGCGAGCTCCGTCGCTGTTGGAGCGGGTAAAGTCCATCAAATTCTCTCCCTTTCACAGATCCGACCCGACACACGTGGATTATGACCCGGTTTCACCAGACGACGACCACAAGTCGAGGGGGAGAAAGCCGGAAACGACGTCCATGCGGAAGATGACGAAATCGGCGAGCGAGAAACAGGCGGAGGAGACGGCGGAGGAGGTGGAGAGGAGGAGGCCGGAGACGATGAGGGTGGAGAGATCGACGTCGTTTGACGACGAAGAAGGCGGCGTCGATGCCAAAGCCACCGATTTCATCAGCAAGTTCAAGCAGCAACTCAAGCTGCAGAGGCTCGATTCCTTTCTAAGGTACAAGGAGATGCTCAAATCCAACTGATCAGAAAGTTACGTATCTACCCCTCGCTCGGGATCGAATTTCCCCGGTGTACCCCTCGCCGCGGTGGCGGGAAAGCTGAACAGAGAGGAAGCGTGGTCGACGTTGGTAAATGACGGGAATGGCATGGCAGTGGCAGACCCGTAATAATTTCTCAAGGGTGTTTTGGTAATTTACTCGTTTAAGTAATAGAATCCGAAAGTAGTTTTTTATGTTAGTGGACTGCGTGCGTTCTTCTTGGATCCGGGCGTTAGATTTTGCCACAACTTTGTGTCATGCACTTGCAGTTTCGAGTAAAAGGATATTATGGTAAATTGCAGTTTGTTGTTGCATACAAGGATAATAATTTATAGGTTAATCTCATATTCCACCACAAATTTTCGAAAAAGTTCCAATTTTCTACACCAATTTTTAATTTGATATAAAACTACACTGGATTTTAAATATTTCCAAATTCCCACATAAAATCTTAAAATGTGTTGCAATTTCTCTCATATCTGTAAACAACGTTAAGTTCCGTCAATTTTGATGCTCATATTTTGTCAAATCATCACATTTACCCACATCATCCTACCACGTCAGAAAATAAGAAAAAATAAAATAAAATAAAAAATTTTCAAATTTTTTTAAAAAAACTAATAAAATGAAATATTTTTTAAAAAACTTTTAAAAAATTACAGAATTTTAAAATTTATTTTTTAAAAATAAAATAAAAAAATTACATATTACATATATATACACTTTTATATCTATACACAATTATATATATATATACATATGCATATATACACATATATACATCTACATACATAATTATATACATATACATATATACACATAAATAATATATATATATATTCACATATGTATATATACATATTCATATATATACATATATATCCATATATGCATTGAATATATATATATGTGTATATATGTATATATAATTTTTTATTTTATTTTTAAAAAATAATTTTTAAAATTCTGTAATTTTTTAACGTCGTTTAAGGTCATGGGGGAAATTGCAACACATTTTAAGATTTTGTGTGAGAATTTGGAAATATTTGAAATCCGGTGTAATTTTTTGTCAAATTAAAAATTGGTGTAGAAAATTGGAACTTTTTCGAAAATTTGTGGGAGAATATGGGATTAACCCATAATTTAATTGCATTGCTTTTTCAGCTCCGAAAGCGAAATCGGACCATATCCTTTTTTTTTTATAACCAGGATGGTTCCTCGGGCCTTCGACCCGACTACATATCCTTTTTTTTCCCTTAACGAATTTAAATATCACTAATCTTTTTATATACCACCCAACCTTTATTGCGTTGAAATGATATAATCAAAACCAACAGCACGAACGTACCACGAGCAGCACAAAATTGAATGCATTCACGGTAGTCTATTATGTTGTTTAAGCTATTTGTTTCTTTCATTTTATTATATGGGGATTGATTTAGATATTTTTATTAAATGGTGGGGTCGAAAGTTAAATAATTCAAAGAGTGGGGTCTCGCCCGATTCGCAAACCTACAAACGTAAGGCTAAAGTGATGATTATGAGGTTAGAAAAATAGAATCCAAAGTCCAAAATCAACGACTCGTGGTCGTGGCTCGTTGAGATTCCTTTTATGGTCACCGCTTTGAAGATATTAATTAGTCCACGTAGTCACCTTAAACACCACCCCCTTCAATTACCCTACTAAATATAAATAAATCAATTTCTTCTCTGATTTATTTTTTAAATGTTGTCAGAAGCAAAGGGACAAAGCTTGGGTTTATGTAGTCAACGACATGTTTACATTAGATGTGTCCTATGCCACGACCTTACACTTCCATTTTCAGACGCAATTTCATTGTTCTTCTTTGATTCGTCCCCTCTGTAACCAAACTAAGAAATCACGCTTCCTGCAGATATTGTAGATTATTACAATTAAAAATTAATGTTTTCGTGGGTTCGTTTTTTTTTTTTGGATTTCGCATTGGTTACAAAATGGACCGACTATGTATAGTTTTTTTTTGTTGTAAAAAGGCCTGTTGTCTCTTCTAATAATTTTATTCGGTGCACATCGACCCATTAATACCCACTTCGCTTGCACTAAATATTCATATTCCTAAATTCTAATGCTAAGGATAAAACACAAAAGAATCGGTGATTAGGGATGAAAAGTGAAAACGCATGCGTTTGAATTAGGGTGGGTGAAACAAATAAATATTTTCATTTATAATATCCATATATTATGGTATTAAAAGATTTATGTGATATGTACACAAAAAATTCTTACGTATCAATTATGTAAATTTCATGCAATCCCAAAATTAAATATGCACAATATTGGAACTATAAAAAAGTAATTAGCTATTCACGTGTTTTGAATTTTTCAGAGTCTTATTATCATTCATTATGGATGGATTCGGGAAAAACAAAAGTCATAGGCCGAAAATTCAATATATAAAAAAACAAAAAGGAAAATAAATGTGAGAGGATGGGCTTTTAAGTGGGCCCAACATGAAGACTGCGTCCAAAACAATAAAAGCCCAGAGTCTATATTTACAACTACCTGTCGTTCTTGACGCACTTGCACCTGATAATCAACGTCACGACGTGCCTTCTCAGAAACATGAAACGACAACGCGTCGCTGTTGATCCGCTTGCATTTCCCAATTTCCATTTCCAAAAGGAAAACACCAAAAAGAGGAAAATAAAATTATATGAATATTCAAAATACACACACACACACACATATATATATATATATACATATATATATATATATATGTATATAAGTCATAGAAGCATGTAGAACAGGATTGGTCCATGCTGATTCGTCAAAGTCCAAGGGCAATGCGGACAAAACATAATCTGTCTTCGAATTTGATTAATAGTTCATCGGAAAAAAAAAGCTGAAACTATAACTATGAAAAAAATTTCAAAGTACTTACAAATTCCTAAATGTGGGGTTGGATTTCAGGGGACATAAAGGTGTCAACTTGCTTACAGCCTCGCATGCATTTATTTGGTAGGACAAAATGTTTGTGTTCTTTGGAATTCGTCCACAGCGTGGTTATGATAACATTCATTTTATTATTTCATATTTATGTATACACCAAACTTTTTATATACCTAAGTTTTTCCATTTTTCTAACCCTTTTTTTTCGTCAAATCTTGAATGGTGCTTGAACATTAATTAATATAGGATGAAAATCAAGATATAGTAGTTATATATTTGGCAAAAGTCTATAATTTGTACATTTAGATTTTAATATTAAAATTGATAGTTTAATCAGATTTGTTATACACATGTTATCAATTTTTACTTTGAATCATTAAATTAAAAAAAAACGAGATAATTGCAGTGTGTACAAATTACGTACATACAAAAAATTTGAGAATCTAAGATCTAGTTGCTTATGGTTTTAGGTAGTTGTCCGAACATACTTTTCAATGTGTTAAAATGGAATCTGCTTACCATTTTCCTCGTCAGAATTCAAATTCCAAAAAATAAAATTATAAAACTTGATTCCAACGTCAAAGTGAAAAAAATTTCAATGATTAAAAAAATTACGTATTATTCTCTATGGGCTAGAAATTTTAATTGAACCACCATAGAGACTAATATTATAAATGGAAAGTGAGTGTAATTTCTAGAACATGTATATGGACCTTTTATTAGATTAGTTGTATGTTTATTATTCTTGGAGGCCAAAAGTATATAATATATATAATCAAAGGATGATTAATCAGGAGCCGGTCGAAGACATCCCACGGAATATTACTATTGCAAAAAAAGGAAATAGAAATATATGCTTTCTGTGGGTTAATAGGAAGATTCTTCACTAAAGCTGTGGTGTTTTTGTGTAAATTCCGAGCTTTTCCATTGCACATATACAGTCACTTGATATATATATATATCACTTTGTAAAATATTTTTGTTAGATTTGTTATATATATATATATATATATACACTTCTAGAAAAAAATACAAAACCTAACAATTATTTTCTTCATATTTTTTTTTTGTAAAGGTTAACCTAAGATAAGGTTTCTGGTGTCAAGCTTCGCCTGAACCGGTTAGTTTCGCCTGGTTTACCTGCTCGACGTGGTTTTCGGTTGTTACATTGGACCGTTGGATTTATCGTCCATGATACTGTGCCTTGTGGCTGTGAGGTGTTGCGGAGTTCGGCCCGAAGAGGCGAGGACGGATTCCCATCGTTATAAAAAAAACACAATTATATATATATATATATATATGATAGATTGAAACATGTGTATTCGATGAAGTAATAATTATTTCACCGTCGTTGAAATAAATTAACTGTATTTATTTTGAGACGGCGTATAATGTCTTTCAGGTTGTTTACTTACCCGTACAAGAAGATGCACATACATCTGTCGAGGGTGAATAAAAAACCAACCGTTTTATTTGTTTTTATGGGAGCCTGAAAAATGGTATTAATAGTCTTTTTTCTATTGGTTTATTTCATTTTATTTGCCACCCTCTCTTGACCCTCTTTCAGACATAAACATCGTCCAATCTGACTTTGACTCTTTTATCTCTCAACAATCTCTCTCCCCCTTTGGCTGCTTCTCTCTCTACTCCTTTTTTTCTAATTTATTATTAAAAAAAAAGAGAATTTTCCCTCCCTCCCCCTCTCTCTCTCTCATTCACGGAGAAGCCAAAACAATGGCACTAGACAGATGATAATCTATTTCGCAGTTTAGCTTTCAGATGTCCGGCAAGGAGCTAGTGGTATAACGACACGTGGCACCAGACATGGACGCAGCGTTCATGGCGGATGACCCGAATACCCGGAGCCAGATATTCGGGTCGCTCATGCAATCGTTCGGATGCGTCTACGTTTGTCTCTGGTCTTATTTTCCTCGCCCATCTAAGTACGTAACGTTTCCCTCACATTAGTTATCATACATTCATGTCCGATGATTATTGGTCGTATATAACATATATGGGTTTTCTTAAATTAAATTTTCAGTTATTTAATATCGTTGGATGGGTACTACAATGAAGCTCCCGAGGAACCCTCTACCTCGTCCGCAAGTTTAGTTAGGAGGCTGTTTGATGAGTATCGCCAAACGGTGATCCCTCTTGAAGATGGGTACGTATATCGATATAGCTTTTCTAAATACCAAGAATCTCAATGTGTGCAATACACACACACACACACACACACACCATGCATGTGTTAGTGTATGTATATATTTGCATGAGTGTATATATATATATAGGTGATTACGTTTTTCTTTTATGTGATGTGAAAGACGAGTTCCGGGCATGGCGTTCGCGAAGAATCGTCCGTACGTGGAGCTTCGGCCACCGGAGATCCTAAGGCTTGCTTGTAATGTTGCTCAACGCCTCTTCTATCACGTAATTGACATTTCACCACCATTCTCTTGCTTTTTCATATTTTTTGTAATTACCCTATCATCAAATATTCACATAAATTCATTCTTCCTTCGTCTTCTATTTGCAGGAAGCTAAGATTCGGGTAGCTTTTCTGTACAATATAGGGGTGTTTCTATTTAATTTTATTTATCATCTACGACATGACATATACATATATACTACATATATCAACGGTGATATTATATATATATATATATATGTGTGTGTGTATTTGGATCGGTTCTACAACAACTTTCATTGATTTTGTATCGGTCAAGAACACATACTAACGACTTTTCCGTAAATCCAACACTAAATCCCTGAATCTTTTTGTTTTTTTATATTTTTTTATTATATATATATATATATATGTATATATGTATATATGTATGTAATGTTAAATTGCGACGGTGATGGATATAGTTTTATTATGTTATGATGATCAGACGGTGGTTTTCATGGGGTGCCGGAGCGGCGAGATTGAACTAGGCATGACGTATGATGCTGCACAAGTGAGCCACATAAAATAATAATCTCTCTCTATACATACACACACACACACACATAATATAACAATTGGTACATATATACTATATATACATAATATATATATATATATACTTATAATGTGTGTGCGTGTGATGTCCATTAAATATGATTCTTGTCTCTATATATATAAATGATGCATTGCTCGTTCGTCATGGTTCTCGTCAATTGACCGACGAACACAGATGAAAATAGAAGCCGGTCTCAGAGAATGGTTCCCCGAAGACTTCCAGAGAAAGTCTCCGATCCAATCAGAGTATCCCCTGCCGCCGCCGCCGTCGTCTTCGTCTTCCTCCCTTAGATCGCTCGACAGCCCCAACATATCGGAATATTCCTCTCTCCTGTTCCCCGTCACCGTCACCGTTAACCCTTCGACGACCCTTTTGACGGAAACCGTTAACCCTCCGTTGGTGCCCATCACAACAAGCATGATCCAAGAAGGGCAACAGTCGCTTCACGCGATTCGCCAACGCGAAGAGGAGGCCATGACCCGGGCGATTCTAGCGGTATTATCCGCGCCGTCAAGTCCTCCGTCAACGTCTTCCTCCCCGAAGAAGCTTAAACCGAGGGTGAGCGCTTTCAAGAGGTATTTCAGCGGTAGCGGTAGCGGTGGCGGCGGTAGCGTTAACCTAAGGAAGCAAACAAGTATGACGAAAAGGGCGATCGCGTTTTACGGTCGGCTTAACGTTTTGAGGCGAGAGCGTTTGGTTCTCGGCGGTCCAACCGCGACGCAGTTGCATCACATGATATCTGAGAGGAAACGTCGTGAAAAGCTCAACGAGAGCTTCCAAGCACTGAGATCGCTCCTTCCTCCAGGAACTAAGGTAATAACACGTTATTATGAAATATGTTTTATAATCAAGATTTATTCGATTCTTCTTCATTATACCCACCACATGAAATGATCACTATAATGTTGTTTTTTTTTATGAATTTTTTATTTTTATTTTTATGAAAGATCACTATAATGTTCTTCTCACTGAATGCAAACAAATTATTGTCCATCTTATTCGATTATTATATGGTTTTGTTCACAATATATATCTTCATTTTATGATGATCAGAAAGACAAAGCATCAGTGCTAGCAGGTGCGAGAGAGCAGTTAGCCTCACTTCAATCGGAAGTCACGAGGCTTAGTTCGAGAGCTCGGGAGCTAGAGGCGGAGCTAACGGGGGAGAGCGAGATCGAAAGCCTCCAACCGGGCGAGAGGTTTAGCGTTAGGACAAGGCAAGTGCCGGAATCGACTTCAAGAGAGAGGACCGTGGATCTAAGAGTGGTCCTAAGTGGAGAAAACGTTAGCGTTGATGATTTGGTGATAAGGCTTCTCGAGTTCTTGAAGCCGATAACCAATGTTAGCTTGGTTTCTGTTGAAGCTCAAATTCGGACAGAAGAAGGCGGGGATTCATCTTCTGTTGTCGCGAGCTTAAGGCTCAAGATCGAGGTAACCAATATATTTGAGCTTAGGTTACAAAATTAAATCTATTAATTGAAATAGTTTGATCGTTTAATACATGAAATATCTATTTAAATTTCTTCAATGTAGTTATAATATATACTATCACATATGGGAAGAATGGTTACATAATCTATGAGTGCAGATTTTTTTCCGATGGGTTTCATGGATTAGTGGAGTTAAGAGAAAATCTTGGTTTTAATCTATATATAGTCACATTAGTTTAAATTTATGTAGTAATATTTTTTTTTGACCATTTAGTATATATTCCGATCCAATTTCATTGATATATTTATATGCTATCCATGATTAGATTACAAAATAAAAGTTGATAAATATGTGTAAAAGACTTTTCTTTAATCTCTAATATTTGGTCACGGAACTGTATAATTAAAGATGGTACAACTTTCTTGTAGGGTGAATGGGACGAATCCGCCTTCCAAGAAGCTGTCAAAAGAGTTATAGCTGATTTGGCTCACTGACAAGTTTGATTATTTCCTAACCAACCAAAAATATGTACTTTTTTTCCCTCGATTTAAATTATAATATATGGTCGAGAACTATAATTTAAATCGAGATGGTTAATTGTTTATGGCAGTCCATTTATACTCGGGCGAAGTGGCGGCTCCCCCCGTCGTTTTCCCCATGGTCGTCTTCTTGGTGTTTCAGCCGTTGATGACCAATTTACCGGACCAATCACCGCCGTCTATTTTTTCTTTTTATTTTTCATTTCCATTACCTAAGACACGATGCAATTTTGTATTTTTTTCTTTAAAACAAATTCATGTATGCACTCTTTCGAATAAAAGATTGGATGTAATCTCTCTATAAAGTTTTTAATAGAAAAAAAAGCGTGATAGTTAATTATGGTGATCTCTTATTATTACTTTATCGCATAATAATATTATAATACGATGAACTTTCAACAACATTTAACATCTTTTTTCGCATTAGCTTAGCTTAATTTATTCGTCTTAAAATAAAGTATCTGAAAATCACACATATACACATAAACTATACATGTCACATATGTGTGCAAACGAAAGAATAAAAATCGGTCGAATGGATAATATTCAAAGGTGGGGGGTGCAAGGGATTCGTAGACAAAGTTGAGGGCGTCAAGCATAAAATTCCAAACTTGGGGGGAAAATTCAGAAAATCAACGCAGGAGTTGGGTGGACGCCAGTTTTGACGGAGTAATCCACGTGGCACGAACCTTCATTGAAAGCCACCTTAGCTGTTTTAATTTTATCAAATCGAACGATTAATCTGTAGATTTTGCACTACTTATTCTCATCCATAAATATTACTCTCCAATACAAAATTGCATGGTGGGTAATTAGCAGAGCTTATATATATATATATACACACACTAATTAGAATTATATTCAGATTTTATTACCAAATCATACCCTTTTACGAATAATTTGACATATCATGAAAAGGGCATAGACGACGGAATGTAGGGTCAAAGGATAGGGCTAAAAGTTTAGAGCTAGACATTTATTATACTTTTAACATATTCAACATTAGGGTCACCATCTTGGTTATTAACCGAATAACCGCATAGTTGTAATTGAACTGAATTTGATATAAAAATCGAATGGTTATGATTTTTTTTTAATCCGAAAAAATCAATACCGAATCGATTAAAAAATAACCGAAAAAACTATCTTTTTTTTTATAAAAAAATGATTTTTTTACAAGAAAAACCCAAATCCGAACAGAAAAATAATCGGATCAAAACAAACCGATATTTATATAAAAATCGAATGATAATAATTTCTTCAATAAATGAAATAATCGAATCGAAACTCGAAATGACCACCATATTCGACACCATGACGAAGAAAGTAATGAGAAAACTAAAAAAGGAATATAATGAATCAATGATATTAACCATTATATCAAATCCATCTAACCTTTTAAACTCTCTATATTTACAAAAAAAATAAAAAATAGTAGTAAGCTAATTTTCTTACCTAAAAAGGTTGATAAAATTAGAATTTTTGGACCAACTTAAAGATTTTGTCCCGGAAACTTCAAAGTCTCTACTGAAATTGACATCAACACACTGTTTTTACACTTCCATGCCAAGAGCCTTTTGATTAGTTATTTCCACATTTCGTCAAAGGTAAAATACGTGATTAATTGGAGTTGTTTTTGGTTGGGTGTGAAGAAACACAAAGTACATGCACCTACAAGCACAACACTAGAATTTCTGTCCTTTTCCTTAAAGCACACGAAGACTTCCTTCCTTGGGCCTAAAAGTCCATTCAGGCCGATGGAAAATAACATTTGATTTAGTTTTAAAAATAAAATAAAAAAGTCCATTGATGGTAATGATTAAGCATTTTGGACCTCTAAACACATCATGTAATTTCCTGATGGACCCACAGAAGTTATAGTCAGTTCTATTTGATTCCATAAAGGATGAAATGTTTTTGTGGAGTGAATATTTTGATTATTAACCAAATAGGTGAATTGAATAAGATACAATCGTGATTGAACTAAAATCTAACATAAAAATTGAACAGTTATAACTTTTCTAGATTTGAAAAAACTTAAATCGAATACAAAACGAATAAAAAATAATCGATTTTTTTTTTTAAAAATAAGTTTTTTTAATAAAAAAAAAATCGAATTTGAACGGAATCGAAATTGATATAAAAAAACCAGCTGATTTTAGTATTATATAATCGAAATAATCGAACCGAAACCTGAAACGGTTACCTCCAATCTAAATGCCACTCCAGGACAAATTAATTTTGGGCTTGACGCTGACAATACTATCAACGTAATTAGTTGATTCAGAAACTAATTAAAAAACCAATACCTGCCATAAACACATTTGCTAACAAAATGGAAATTTTAACAAATATACTATATATTATCCTGTCTAATTGATATATATTATTATCTTTTTTTTGTTGCATATTTTTCTATATCTATAGGAATTTGATATGTGGTCGATGTTTATAAGAAATTGGAGAGATTCATGCGGGATCCTAGATATTACCGTCACTGATCAAATTAGAGGTATACCCAAACATTATAATTATATATGATTAGTTTTTTATATAGCTAATACCATTAATTATTTTGGATATATACTTGTTGGGTAATTGTTCTATCATTGCTTTTGCAATTCTTAGAAAATAAAGGAAAACTGGAGCAACAACACATCACGTTCAATCTAGAACAATTTATTGAAGATTGTAAATCTCCACAATCTGATAGGTGCGGATCTTTGAGGACCTTTCTTAGCTTTCTTCTTTGCACCTTTCTTAGGTTTCTTCTTAAGAATTTTCTGAGTCGAGCATTTGCCATGATACCAATCGATCTCTGCCTTGAAAGGAAGAACCAATGAGATTAGTTATATAACAACAAAACAACAATATCGCTTTAATCCTGAGTTTATTGAGGAACGTCTGTATGAAATCTTTTTCTCTATTCATTTCGATTTTGGGTTAAGTTTTATAATATAAACGAGGAAAAAAATTTATGCAGTTTATTTCAACAATCACAGGACAGTATGATTTAGTTACCCAATAGCCTTCTCAAGGAGAGGTTCATATTTGGGTCAAAGAAGAAATCAAGTTTGAACCCTTTGGTCCTTCAATTCTTCTCCACTTAATACTTTGAGATATTTGATAGCCCTTTCAAGCTACTAATTACCTTGGAATGCAAAGGCCGATACGATTTTTGATACTTGGCCATCATGTCGGCCCTTCAAAGACAAGAATCCCAACAAAAATTCAAACTGATTTCCATTGCTTGGAACTCATCATGCCAGCTACGCTAGGACAATTATCTGATAAATTCAAAAGGGTTGCACATAAAAGTTTCAATTCTCGTATCCATGCAAGAAAATGTAAAAAGTATCGAAAATCAGAAGTAAAAGATACCGAATCAACGAAAACCAACTAACCCATAGAACAATAGACTGATACACAAAATACATAGCATTAACCTACCTCTAATCCAAAAGTTTTTTTTATGAAGGTGATTTGTATTAACTCTGCCTAGGCAGGAGCTTGTTCTTGTCTAGCCGATCCCAAACCCGGATAAAAGAGGATGGTTTTTGTGATAGGTTGGCAGTCAGCAAAAGAAAACAAATGCCAAATCTCACATGCAATGGATTCACAAGCTTCGAGGCGCAACGTCGTGGGGGACAGTGCGACTCGTACCTTGGAAAATTCTGTGATTCCTTTCCTTCAATATTTCATATACCAAAATCTGAAACAATAGCTTGGTAGTTGTATTTCTTCCCCTGGTTGTGTCATTTGTCGGATTGTTGAACCACGCCACCATTTCCATCGTGTTCCGTTGAACACTGGGCTAGCATAGTGCCGCAAAGTGACTCCAAACATCGTAGGCATAGCTGCACTCAAAAAATAAATGATGGTGGGATTCAGCAAACGAGTTACACAACCTGCAATTCGTGTCCGAGGTAACTCTCCATCGTTGAAGTCGGTCTTTCGTCGAAACTGTTGATGCATCATTTGCCAAAGGAGAAAAGCATATCTTGGGACACTGACCGAGAACCAAATAAGAGAATGCCATTGAATTGTTCCTTGATTTAGCCTGATCTGATTCCAGGTCCTAGAGGAGGAGAAGTATGACCTATAATCATCCGCTTTGTACTTCCATAGAGCTTGGTCGGGTTGATTTGCAGATGATGGGGTCCGATCGTTGAGATATGGATCAACATCTGTTGGATTCTGTCACTCCTAGCTCCGGGGAATGTCCAAGAGCCTTCGACAACAGCTTCACTCAAGGTGGCCGAAGATGATAGCCTTAGGTTACGAGGGCTAGTAACATCAACAAAGTCGATAAGCGGCCCCAAATATGTCCATGGATCATGCCAAAACATGATTGTCTCACCATTTCCAATCTGAAACTTTAGCATCTGCTTCGCTAAGTCTTTTATCCCGAACAATTTCCGGAAATTCCATGAAAATCGAGACGAGAGATTTGTGTTTCAGAAGCACTTCCGCTTGAGAATATTCGCTTTTGTCCAAACTACCCACATGGATCCGGACTTCGAGAATAAGAGCCAGATTAACTTTAGACGGAAGACTGTTAAAATCTGCAATTTGTTTCGTGATTAACAATATAAAGAGGTCAGGGCATTGTGCAGGCAAACCCTAAACTATCAAGCTATTCGTTGAAAAGGAATACGGCTGAAACCAAAACAGATATAATGCTGAAACAAAGGAAAATCCAACCAAACTTGTCTCACAGATAAAAGATAACTGATAACACAATTGCAAAGCATGCGGACAAATCGTCAGATCACAGAGAGCCAACTCAACTTGAGAGCATCCACAAGGCTTGCCCGATCCTCATCTTCGAGAGCTGCGAACAAAACCAAATCACAAGAGGGGCAATTTAACTAACGAAACCCATCACGAACAATGCAGTTAACTCGTGCTTAAGCAACAAAAACTACTTGATCAGCAACTGGAACAAAGCAAAAAAAAAAAAAAAAGAAGAAGCAAAACTGGAGTAAGCTTAAGTGGCGGTGAGATTGATGACGCTGAAGTTGTCCTTGTCGTTGGGATTGATCGGGAGATCAAAAGGAAGAATATTTCGAGAAGAAATCAGAAGGGAGCGTTGAAAAATGGACAGTTGGAGAGGAGGGAACGAGGATTTTTTTCGGATCTTCCTTAAATCCTCGATTAACCTGATCAGAATCCAGACCACCATTTTCCCCTTTCGTTCTACGAATCTAGAGGAATAGGCGATGTTCGAGGTGATCAGGTTTTGGAAACGGGAAAGAGGTTGACGCACGGTTCGGAACCGGGCGACTAGGGTTCAGGGTAATTTGGGGGGTTTTAACCCTAATAACACACTTCACTTGGCTCGCAGCAATTTCAGGTATACCACCGAAAAAAAAAAAAATTTGCGACCTTATTACGACTAATATATAACTAATATACAACTAAAATAAGAGTAGTTTATTAGTCGTAATAAGTTGTATATTAGTTATATATTAGTCGTAATAAGGTCGCAAATTTTTTTTTTTTTTTCG